GTATTTTTTTAATATATCATTTGAATGTGGGAAGTTAGAGCATCCCACATGAAATGTATTAACAAGCACTATGACATTACTCCACTAATTAAAATGACTTCTTGACAGCTTCAGAATATTGACAATTTATTCCTTATTTCTAGTTGTGACTGTTCTTCAGTTTGTTCTGTCCCATGAATTTTGACAAACGTTGGAAAGAATCAGAACATCTTCCATCTTCATAAGATGTGAACCTTTGCATTCAATTCCCTTATTTGCTCCTGCCAGCATATCTCTTTTTTCTGTTCCTAGTCTACTGATGTGAAACCACTGCTAGTTGGATTATAGTGCTTAGATATGTGTCTCTGTTGATAAGATCTTTAAGATCTTTTTAATGTTTTTTTTATATATTCACCTGCCTCTTCACTGAATCATACAACTTTTCATTGTGTTAACCTGGATTGGAGAACGGTTCATCCCATTGCTCCTTCTCTCTATTTTACCTTTGTCTCTTGAGTAGCACATGGTAAAAAAGGAAAAGTCACATTTGAAATCTATTGTGGAGTTCTCCTGAAGGAATTAGCCAAGCAATGAAAACAGGAACATCATATGCATAGTTTTGCTATAGATTTCCAAATCTGATGATTCCTTTCTTAACAAGATGTCCTGGGTTTTGAGATCACATTGTTACTGGAGGGGATTGTTGGCAGGTACAACTTGAAAAAAGTCTTTTCTCACAGCATATAGGAGCTTGTGAATGTCAGAGTTTCACAACCAGAAACTTTCTTTTAAAAGGTTTACACATGTTGTCTACATAAGTGTTTGTAGTGACATTGACAAAGATGGGGTGGGCAGGTCTCGTGATTTAAAATTCAGTAGTGGATTCATACCATTTAACTTTACATACCTTAAAGGATTTAGGTTAGGAGCTTAAGGCAACTTCAGGTTATATAAATACCTTCAAGCAGTGACTGCAAGAAACTATGAGCATTTTTTGTCTTCTCCTGGAAAACGAAAACAAAAACAAATTAAAAACAGAAAATATTCACCCGGACAGTTGCCATGGATGTGTGGGTTAATGAATATGGCAAATGTAAAAACAATTATTTTCAGGTCATATGATGTAGTGAAGTATGAGAATTTTCTGCAAGTAGTATTAATTGTTTTCTCTATCCACCTTTCATCATTGAGCTCTGAGGGAATATGTTTTATGTTTTTCTTACATTCCCAAGACATAATCAGAATTTGGTTCATATGTTGTGTAGTATAATGTCTTGCTTCTGATAAATATGATTCTAAGGCTGCCTGACCAATGAATAAGGAAGGTAACATATTTTTAAACCATAAAAGTAAAGGATTTCCTTTGATAGGGTTGTATTTATTCTGTTTTGAAATTAAATGGTTTGATCCTATCAGAAGGGATTTACCAATATGAAATGTTCATGTATTTATCAGGATTTTGTAAGAGATCTGAAGGGACTTAGCCACTTGCTGAAAGTGGGTATAAATAAAAAACAGTTCTGAAAGCTTTAGATCCTTTAAAATTCACGCTTCTTTGTCAGAAGCAGAGAAGCTTTCATGTACCAAGAACAGGGTAGGTTATTAGGAAGAGGAAGGAGTCTAAGATGGATAGGGCTAAGTAACTCGGATCATTTGTTTTCTTCTGGAATTCTGCTTTTAAGTCCAGCTAATGACAGAAGTTAAGATTCTGTTCTTTCTTTATGACCTATGAGGAGGTCTGCTGGCTTATATACCAGACAGGTGTTTTTTAAATTCTTTTTCCGGAGCAAAATCAAGAGTGAAAGTAAACAGGCAAATTCCTCATAGTCTGTGTTAGAAAGTAGTGAAGTAATGATGAAAGCACATACGAGATGTATGCTCATATGAAGTGCTTGTTCTGCGGTAATCTACTCTTTCATTTATCTTCTCTCAAGTCCATTAAGCATTGATGAGGACTCTTTGCTCTCTGTTGGTTTCCCTGCTCCCTGAGTTCACTTCCATTGGCTTCCCATGTCATTCTACTGAAGTTTGGACTCCATCTTATTCTTCAGGATTCAGAACAGACATCTGTGGCTAAACCTTAGCTATTAATTCCTACTGTTATTCCCTTGTGAGTAAAACAGGGATGACATTGTAATGCAACCTTAACTGCTGCTGCATTTTGCCCTGTGAGTCTCCAGCAACGTTCCTTTCAGAGACCTCCCTTCCTTCCTTATACTGAAAAGTTTCATTTAGCGTGTTCAGATTGTTCCAAAACCTGCATTTCTTTCAGCTAATATTTGGCAGTAACTACTTAGTGTTGCTTCTGCCTGTCTCATAATCAATATCACAACACATATAGCTTGTGTTGTGGTATAAAAGTAGTAGTAAGTAGAAATCATAAGGCCTCAGATGCCAAAATTTCATCATTTCCAGCATTTCATTGTTTGGGTTTTTGTTTGTTTGTTTGTTTTTTGTTAGTCCTGTGGGGAACTGTCGTTTTCACTTTACAAATCAGTGATAGAAGAATCAAGAAACTGTCCTACCTCACACAGATTCCTGACGGGTACAGATGCTTTTGACTTACAACACGTAGACCCACAGTGTTTCTGCTCTGATCTTTCCCAGCTGCAAGTGTTCACACCTTCTCTATGACAGAGTTCTTGCATCAAGCTGAATGTTTGAAAAATGAGGAGTGTGTAATCCATGGCGATTTATCAAAATCCTCGTTTATCAACCAACTTCAACAGGAAGAATTTACCAGAAATAGGGATAAACCTGAATTCCTTTCTATGACATTTATCATGATGGAAAAAAAAAAAAAAGTTTTTCTTTTCCTGCTGCACGTTGCTTTTTTTGTCAATATTCTGTCTATTTTCCAAAGAAATGTAGTCTAGTTTGTGCAATGTTCATATTGCTGTGATTCATACCTTGAGAAGCATCCAAACTGCATGCTGAATAGTGTAATGGAAATTAACTGTGCCATAAATGTTAAGTAAGATTTGATTTTAGGCTATTTCCTTATATTTTAACTTTTCAAGCATTTATAATTAAACACTTGAAAATTACAAGTTGTGAGAAGAAAGAGTAAATGGCAATTTTATGCACTTGGTAATCTCATCCTCTTCTTGGACTGAATTCTAAACCATCAGCACAGCTTGAGCTGCTGCACTACCTACACTAGGAGTTATCAGAAAAAAAAAATACCCTCAAGGGAATGCAACTTTTTCTGAAGGTTGTATGGTATGTATACATTTTTCTCAATATCCTGCTTCCACGTTGTTGTGTGGCATTACCAGCATTTTTTTCTTTCACTACATGTCGAATTTTTTAGAGAAAATTTGATAGGAAAAAAAGGTTTTAAATTAATATCACGAATTTGGATTCTACTTCAGTTTGCCTTATTGTTTGAACCAGGAGACTGCTCAAAGTGCCTTTGCTCTAATTCAGTTGTTCTCTTTTCAACCAAGGATCCCTTTTTTCTCTTGAGTCTTTTTTTAAATTTTGAATTAGGAAAAATAGAACAACTAGGTTATAACTGCATATACTTCAACTGACTTTCTGTTCTAAAGGAGACGCATTTAAGAATGACAGTTCGTTCTTGGTCAGAATACTAGAGTAGCTTGCACGTTTGCTTGGAGTCCTACTATAATGATAATGTGGGCATTTCATTTGAGAGAGTTCAAAACAGATGCTATTCGCATGTGATAAGACTAGGGAAGGAAAGCAACAATTTCCTTAAAAGTCCAGTGGATTTTAGTAGTGTACATCCTGTCAGAAGTGAATATTTAGAATCTTAATATATTAATTCCATTATTTTTCTTGAAAATCTTGTGCAAGTTATTAAAAAATAAATAAATTGACCTTGTTTTGAATATGTTGTTCCCAGTTTTGCTGTTGGTCAGCTGGAATCAAGTGGTGGCAATATAAATTTTGCTTTTGCTATTATGTCCCAGGCCAGCATATAGTTGAATTTCCAAGGCCTATTCAGTCTTTGTCTTCCTTTCTGGGATTTCATAAAGGAATGACTGTTAATACGATTTTAAAAGGATCCACTACATTTGGATGGGACTGATTCCATTTTACATAAAATATGGAACAACTGTCAGATAATAAAAAGTATCAGTTCAGTCTTGACTCAAATTACTAAGAAGGATATTCCTCAAGTTATTTTTCTTTTCTCTGTATCAAATAACCTGACATAGGTGACAGCAGTAAAAAAAAAAAAAAAAAAGGAGGTTTTTACTGGAATTAGTAATTCTGAGAAGACCTCTTGTTGTAAATGAGTAATGTAAATGGTGTAAATGTAAACCTCATGTTTGTTATACATGCTGCTAGCAATACAAAGCCTTTAAAGCAGCTGTTTCAGTTGTTTCTTCCTTCCTCTGCATCATCCAGGAAAAGAATAAAACTTCATTAACAAAGGAAAAAGAATCAGGCAAGAGATGTTGCAAAATAAATTGTGTGCATATTTCATATTTAAGTAAAAATATAATGTTGGTCTGGCATTAAAATTTTCTGGTTGGGCAGCATAATTTTTTAACTGGGAATCTTGATAGCAATGGCTAAAATCTGTCAACCTGGGTCAATAGAAATCTGTATTGCGTTCTGTCAGGTATCAGCAGTGATACTTGTCAGGCTTGATGCTCACAGTAATAATATAGTGGGATCATGTGATTTGATGCAGATAGTAATTGTAGTAAAAGATACAGTTGTGGGATTTTGTTTTGTTTTTTTTCTTTTGTCAGTTTAGGACTTCATTATTCTCCATATCCAAATCAGATAAGTAGCATGTATTCCTAAAATAATAATAATAAAAAAGATGAATTCAGCATGTAAAAATTATCAGTAAGGAAGTTTAAAATGACATGGTAAAGCATCGTTTATTCCGGAAATTGAAGTCTGTGTCCTTGTCCTCTAGAGATGTCTCAGAGAGTCAAATTGATGTCTTGCATGTACTGCTAACTGATTGTGTGGAAATTTTTTTAAGTTCACTTTTTCTTTATTCTTCTGTCTTTTTTACCCATCTTCCCCCATTGTAGCAAATTAGACGGCCGGATGAAAGCAAAGGAGTTGCTAGTAGAGTTGGATCCCTCAAAGTAAATATGTTTCTAACATTTATTTTGCAAGTTCTCTTCTATAGCCTACACTTTTCCTTTTGAAGGGGGAGGTGAGGGGAGGGAGGGAAGGGGCTTTTCCATTTCTCACCATTCCATCATTTTTATTTCAGTATTCTTACTGCTGTTGGGTCACATTTTGTTTGTTTCTGTGCTACACATAGAACAATCTGCTGAGGGCAAGCTGCCAACTAGTTAGCTTTAAATGTCATCGCAAATAAGAGACAGGAGCAGCCTTCTCAAAGTGGCTGTCATTTGGGGATCATGATTAAACCACTTCTCTGATCTGTGTTATCTGTTGTCACTTAACTGCCTGTTACACAGAGAAGTGACTTACTCATCTTCAGAGGACCGCTTCCCCCCTTGAAACAATTAAACTTTTAGAGTGCTCACACATTTTGCATTTAATTCTGCAAAAGATCAGTAAAAGGAAGCTGACTGCTTTAGTGTCTAGCTAGCCTTTAATTCAGAAAAAAAAGGAAATAAAGAGGAAATGAGAGACCATGTGAGGCTAATAAGAGTGGAGCCACTGTTTTCTAACAACCAGTTCCAAGTCCTGCCTTCTTCATGTCTCCACTAACACACTCAGATATTTAGAGCGCTTAAGAGAACAGGCAGATTTCTAAATCTATACCCACTCATGAATAGTGTTGCACACTACTAAATGGTTAAAAACCCAGGAAATTCTCCAGCTTTGCCAAGACGCTGATCATGCGCCGTCTAGGCCATTCTGTTAAGATTCCGTCTCAACAGTTGCCTCTCTTTCAACCATTCAATTTTTCACCTTTTTTTTTCTACATTATTTCCTTTTTAGCACTTTCTCAAGCGCTAATTAATTATTTTATTCTGCACTTTCCTTGGCTTTCCTGCCTCCTTGATTTTTTTTGTTTACTCCTATATGTGTGCATATTGCCTTTGTTCCAGGACAAGCCATCCTCTCTGCTCTTGAACACTCCTCTACAGCTGCTCCTTGTGAAAATGTTATTTCACTGAGCATAAAGAAGGGGAGGGGAAGGATTAATTATGCACCACTTTGCAGTGATGGCACCATTTAAATTGACCTCAGTGTAGGAAAATAAGCCAGTTTCAATTTGATTATACAAGCCGTATCTAGAGGCACCTGTAGCATTCCTCACTGTCTGTGAGGCTTTAGCTTTTCATCTTGTGTTTTGGGAAGAGGTTTGAGAATATAAGAGCACCGTGTGTGATTGATGGACTGCTGTGTCTGTAGCAGACATTCAGTAGCACTGAATTCACACAGAGGAAAGCACAGGTGGCCACAGCTACTGCTGTGTTTTAAATGCTGTGCAGGTAATTATTATGACTTCCACGTTCTGCTGGGTCATCATATACAATTGTATGTGCATAGCGCAAATACATATGCAAGAGGTGTAGTTTATTTAAGGGCTAGTATTCATCTATTATTTTTATGAATGTGACATCAGAATGAAAGTCACTAGTTTAAAAAACACTGGGGTTCAATTTTCTAATATTGACACCTATCTTAGGATTCCTGCTTCGTTCTCTGACTGCCCAAGATTTAATTTCGCTACCCAAAAAAGGTATTTAAAATCTGTTATGAATATCCATGTAGACAGTGGAAAATCTGAATTAAGATTTCTGTATGTTAAAATTCACTCCTAAAATATTATTTTTAATGAAAAAAACCTATAACACTGCCTTGCCAATAGATAAATAATGTAGCCAATGTAGCCAATTCAGTAGCTTTAGTCTGTTCCTTGCTTTTTTTTATATCTTTTTCCTGTACTGAAAGAGCCATGTTAATCAAGCAAAAAAAAGCTTTGTATCCAGTTGCAGAGTTTACTGAGTATATATGTTTGTATTGTGCAGAGCACTTTGATGTCTTGAAATGTTTTGCCAAAGGCAGTGAGAAATGTGTTATGCTATGATTTGTTTAAAAAAGTAAAACAAAGAACGAAAGAAAAAAGAAAAAAAACGTGACAAGAGAACAGCTTGCTTTTTCAATTCATTTTCTGATGTTTACATGTAGCTCCATCGAAAGCTGGAGGAGCTCAGAGATCACCTAGAAGGCAATGTCAAAGGATGCTCTCTCCGAGTAAATGTACGATTTCACTCGGTGATCTGTTTTTTTTTAAAACTTCCGCTGGCTGGTAACACCAAATCTGATTAGTTTGTCTGCTCATCCCCATCTTTTTTCCTTTCTTCTCTTTCTCCCTTTGTGTTTTCCTTCTTCTCTAGCTGGGGTTTCATTTTAATGTGTATGAGAAACCTGACCTAATTGAGAGGCTTTGTTTAAAATTAACATTTTAATGAATGTTAATCAAACTTTGGCTTTAATACCAGCTAAAGCAAATCCCTTTCCAAAACTAAAGTTGCATATCTAACATTTTCCTGAATATTAAAGTTAGGAAGAAATAAAATAAATACCTCTAAAGAATAGCCATATATATTCTGTCTGTGACTGATACCTTAACTGAAAACTGATCTGATCTAGGGTAATCCAGAAGCACATAGGCTCACAACTGCCTCTTTACCTTTAATGTTTTGGATCCTTATGTTATCTCATAAGATAGCTTAATATTTGTTTGGATGCCAGCTATGCAAATTTTAACAGATTCGTATAATACAAAAATTCTGTGGCATGTTTCCCGTATGTTGTATTTGTGCTTTAAAGAAAAACAAAATCATGTGGAGAGAAGAAAAAATAAAAAAAGTATTAAGAGTTAGCATATCAGTCATGACTCCTCTGTAAGATTATCCCTTTTTTACAGAAATCTTTTAGAAAGCAGTATATGCAGACAACAGTACCTCATATTTGAGTTTTCTTCATAAAGTAAGATCAGTCTTTCGGCAATTAATTCTCTGGAACTCAGAGTTTAAGCTGTATAATGTGATGTGCAATAAAAGTTAGAAGGAAGAGTTTTCAGCATAATAAAAGCAAAAGTTAATAACTGCATTTATCCCTTTGAATAGTCATTCAGTGAAGACTCAAAATAATTTGAGCCATGTCTTGTTTATATCTCCCATACGCTGTGATTGTTACCATTATTCTCAGCACAATCATTTTAATATGTAATCTGCTATGGTTATCTAGTGAAAGTTAATGATTTGATAATCTTTACCCTATTTGCATGCTTTGTCATACATATCCAGCTCTAAGTCTGACTTAAAGTTGAATTCTGCTCACTCTCAAATAGAAGTCACTGCACTTGTAATCTTTTGCAGGCCAGATGCAAGAAAGCTGAGGTGCTAATATCCTGCAGCTTTCTATCCAATCTGTTGCTGAAGAGATCATTTCAATGGCAAATTTCTTTAACAATCAAGTTTTTGGGAGAATATACTAAGTGATGCTTTTCATTTGGTGACATGCTATACTTACTAGTTAGAATCAAGGCAGAGACAGACCTTTATTTTAGATCCTCACCCTTAAAATCGTGCTTTAGTACTGGTGAATAAATGTAAAGGCAGGAAAAAAAAATTCACCATGAAACTTCGTACTACAGAAAGTGTTCTAGACACACATTCTCACACAGAATCCTACATGGGGAGAGGTTTAGAATGAAAAACTTACACAGAGTAATTGACATGAAATTGTTCTGTTCCTCAAAGTCGCTTTTGCTGTTCTATCATGGTCATACTCTACACAAGACAAAGCAAGCAAGGAGGTCAGACTGTGAACTAAAAAATGTTGGATATGTTCATATGCACTTTAAATTTCTGAAGACAATCATGACACATCACAAGTATAATATCACATAGCTAAAATCTGCTTGTTTTGACTGCTAGTCTGATCCATGCTATAAAAATGGACATTGTGGATAAGGCAGCATTTTTAAAAAGAAGATACAAATGGCATATCAAATAGTAGCACAAAGCTGTATTAAGTGATGGTTTTTTGGAAAGAAAATAATAAGGGATCTGTTAATAGCTCATCTTTGAAATAATTTGCATGTGTTCCATGATGTTTTTGGAAAGGGGTTTAAATGAAAGTTGTTAATACTACTTTTGTGGCAATTGTTTTGAGTGGTATGGGAGGGGGAACATGAAGTAACTGATGGCCAGCCCCATAAGGGAAATTTAAATGTTATTGCACAATTGTGCATATTATTTAAGGTGGAACCTTTGTTTCAGAGTGAGTTCCAAAGAGAATAAATCAATAGTAATACCTAATTCTTTACAAAGAAAATATTCCTAAACTGAAATCTGTTTGCCTGTTTCTTCTTGAGATCTTCACTCAACTTCCTTGTAGATATTCTACTTCTTTTCTAGGCTTAATTCTTTGATCATTCCAAATTACCTGTGTTTGAAGCTAAAATTAATTATTGTTTGGAAAATTACTAAGTAAAATTAATTTTAAATGTGAGTTTAAATTTTGCAGAAACATTTTATGAAAAGTCCGTCAGAAAAGCATAAGTCTACACATAAAAATATCTAAACAAAATTTCCAAGTAACAATGTGAAACAATTTCTGTATGATTCTTAACCAATGTAATTCCATGTCAAAGGTTCTGGTTTTGGCCAAGAACAATATTTTCAGAAATCATACTAGTGGCCAAATGTCCACACAGGATGTTAAATGAAACTCAGTTCATAATTTTTCATGTGTATTTGTGCCTTGTGAAGGCTGCAGTCTCCTCTATACTATTTACTATCTTACATTAGGTATGATCATGATCATCTTTGATCATGATGAAAGACAACTTTCGTTTGTCATTTCTGGTCATTATGTTTTTTTAGTAAAGATCTGAGTAAAGTTACTATGGCCCTCAGACTACTGGCGTATTGCTCTGTCAGCCTTTGGACCAGATTCTCAGATGGTGTAAATGGGCATAATTCTTTTAATACAGTGGGGAATTTCTGAGATAGAGAATATGGTACCTTAACTTTAAAATTCCTAGGGGAAAAAAAAGCGGAGTTGTACATTTGAATATAGCTTAAATGTTAGCAGGGAACAAGCTTCTTGAAAAGAAATGGGTAGGGATTGTCAGGCAGCATACTTAATAAGAGCTGCCCCTTCTTCCCAAATGGAAGAAACAGTCAAAAGATGACTGGAGTTCACAAATGACAGCAAATTGCAAGCAGTGTAAGCAATAATTTGCAGAATCATCAGCAGCACTTAGTAAAATAAGAAACATATTGATACTTAATTTTAATATTACAGAAGCAGTGCACTTAAGGAATGCAGACATCACACAGATGTTCAAAAATAGAGACCAGTTAGAAAGAAAGCAATGATGTAGAAAGGGTGTGGAAACATTAACCATGTGGCAGGTGCTGCAGCCTCACTGCATGAGTCTGTTGGAAATAACTGAAAGAAACAGCAGTCAGTGCCTGGATGAGTGTGTGTTGTAAGAATAGGAACTTGATAAATCCTTTCCTGAAGACCATTTTGAAACCAAAACACTTGAGCCATAGGTTTGATTTCATCATTATGAGGAAGTATCCCAAGTAAATTGACAGTCTATACATGTGTGAATAAGAAAAAAAAAAGAAAATAAAGTGTGAATAACAAAAGAAATAGTATTGAAACAAAAAAAATGTGTGTGTATTTAAGAACAGAGAGAAATTCAACATACAGGTATTTTAGTGGAAAGAGTATTATCATTTGCTTGTTGTAGCTGGGACTTCATGAATATGAAGAAAGTAAGAAGTGATTTAAAATATTTAAATACTAGGAGAAATAAGACTGATAAGAAATGATAATTTTAGGTTAGATATTAATGAAAGTATGGATAAGTATGGTAGCAGTCTCACCGTAGTAGATGTCCAAGAAAAAAAGTTCACAATGCTTTAGCTTTAAGTATATCTCTTGTAAGTTAGTGTAGAGAAAATAAAGGATGAATCCAATTATTTCAAGTTTTTTTGGATAAGCTTCCAAACTCTCTCGTTGCTGTTCCCATTTATTTAGTTGCTGATATGTCTTTGACACGTCTTGCTTTAAATCCATTCTCTGGATCCTCACCTGCCAAGTTGAAACTAGTGAATTTTCTTTTTCTATGCTACTATAAGACAAAACATGGGGAAAATAGTGGTAGTTAATGATGACAATCTTGATTAGAGGTGCATCTGTAAGTCTTAGATGGATATCAGAACATCATTCAGATGTCCTTGGTAATATTATCTAGTTAGAGCAATTTATACAGAATGCCAGAGCAAAATAAATCTTCTTAGTGACAGCATTATAAATTTTGTGCCCATAAAAAACAGATCTATAGATGTATTATATACATCTATTATCTATTATATATATATCTGTGCATCTATATCTCTTATATACATCTATAGATGTATTATATATGAAGACATAAATGATCACAAATAGGAATGTAGAATTTTCCTGTAAGTGATATTTGTGATTTTAGTGAAGAGTTATGAAATACATATGTCTGAAATTGAAGAACGTTCATGAGTGACTTTGAGTGGCATCTTCTCTGCTCAGTCCATCATAATACCTAAGTCAGGAATTTACAATTTTTGTGAAAATAATTGAGAGGTTCAGTTTAACATTATTGCATCTGAAGTATTTTACAGTGCTGTTTTTTTCTTTGTTTTTTTAAGTCTAAGGGAATTTTGCATAGAATTCTGATGATTCATTCTTCCACCTTCAGAAAAAAAGATCAAGAGGAGTTTTATAATGTATTTATAGGAACCATGTCTTTTATTTCATTTATTAGGGTGTTTTTCATCTTCACAACTGGTTGTCATCAGATCATTAGTAGACTAACATAAGCTAAGGAAGAAAAAACTAAACTGAGATTAATCTTTGTAGTTGAAATATGAAACATGTTCAGCCACAGAAAGGATTTTCAAAATCAATTAAAGAAAATCCTGTAAATAACTGGAAACTCTTAATTTTTAAAAATTTTGAACTTATCTCTGATCTAGGAATGATTTACTAGTCCAGAGAAAGTGGATGACTTCTCTGAACAAAGTGTTCCCTAAACAATCATATCGTTGTGTTCTGTTGTGTTATTGCATTAAAAAAACCGCACACTTTTAAGTTCAGAGCAACTTCTATCAGTAAAGCTGTAATGTTCCCAATGAAGTTGTACCTGTGCTGATAGATGCTGCTGCTGCCAATAAGCAGGGTCCCACAGGAATCCCAACCCTTTATATTATTGAGAGACATAACATGTAGAGTTCTGTTGGCCTCTACCTGGTCATGAGTAATTTAGTCTTTACAAGTTTTTTGAAGATTAAAGAAAAAAAAATCGTTATCAAAATGCTAGTTCTAGGCATCTAAAAATAGACACAGGGAAGAATAGGGCCTTTAATATGTTTTCACATTCTATATTTTGCAGTTATAATAAAACTAATAGTGTTAGAAGAAAGAGATTAGTAAGCTTCTTTGTAGAATGCCTCGTTATCCTAAGATTAGTTTTCTCCTCACAATGCCAGTTTTCTAGAAGAATAAAGAAAGACTGACACTTTTCTTCATATTCATCATTAGTTTTGACTATTTAACCAGTCCAAAAACGTTTTTCTTTTAAGAAGCTTCCACCTTAAAAAGCCAAAATTTGGAGGTTCTGAAATAGCCGGTCTTGGAAACTTAATGAACCCCCTACTACTATCTCAGTGCTGGAGCCACCTTTATAGAAAACCTTCTGAGACCCTTACTGTGCCACCATTTCTTTTTTAACAATGTTTTCTTTTCCCCGCTGCACCACCAGGCTCGGCTTCCTTCGTGTTCATCCACCTATAGTGTTTCTGAGGTATACTTGCACGTGTTCTCCACACAGTTGACCTGCTTGCCCATCACACTTCTTTTGATTTTATTTACTTTTTTTTTTTTTTTTCATTTTTTGCCTTGCACTGTGCACAAGTGGGGAGAAATCAGCTGTGGAGGATATTTCTGCATGATCGCCCTGCAGCCATGTTCAGCGTGGTTTTAAAATCGCCCTGTTAGTCTTTTGTTACATAGCAGATGCTACATAACATAGAAGCATAAATTATGGAATGTGAACTTGACTAATTTTCTCTTACATTAAAATGAGAATACTTTCATAATGTAAGCCCATTGGCTTACAGATGACCACACTACAAGATGCCTCACCAGTCTTGTCTGAGCTATTGTAGCTAGAAAGGCTCTGTAGAAGGGGCTGTCACATTATGATTACTAATCTGCTTGCTAGATACAGGATGCTTATCTGAAAAACCTTATTATTTCCTAAAAGTCTGGCTTGGGTCATTATCTGCCAGATACTGATAGAACCATAGTGAGCAAAGTTCTAGACCTAATATTAAATTGAAAATTAGCTTCCATGTATATGAACTTGGTATCCAAATGAAACTCACTTTCCAAAAATGATGTTGCTTGTTGGTTTAACCCATAGCAATGCTGTTCTGGATTTTAAAATATGGTTTGTTTAGTTGACCATGCTCACAGTCACACTTGCAGGTAATATGCATGTGCCTACTACATGAAATTCTGCTTCATATAACCAAATCTTACTAAAAAGATGCAGATCTTACTGAAAAATACCACTATTGGAAGTTCTATGAAATACATACACATGCCAAAAAGTGAAGGTAACCCTGAGACTTCTAGACTTAAAGGCAAATTTCAGGCAAATGGGATTTTAGAGAGTCTAAACAAGCAGCTGGGGTGAAGTGGGAGGAAATAGGTTCTTATGTGATGCTCTGTGTTTGCACATTGGGCTCATTCACATTAGTTATGTTTATTCTTTTATATAAAGGTGCTCTTGCTTCACTCAGTTAATGAGCATCATACAAAATGCAGACATAAAGAGCTCACCTAAACCATCACGCTGTCCCTGAGCAGGATTAACTGTATGTAAGTATGTCATATTGGTGTATGTCTAATTTGTCCTCAAGAAACTTCAACCAATCAAGCAATCAGGCCTATCATTTCTTCATCCTTTTTAATACAAACAGAAAAGCTAATAAAGAAGTTTTTAAGGATAATTACCAGATTTTATGCCGAAGACAAATAATTGCTTGTGGCTCTGCCAGGAGATTGTTTTAAAGTTGTTTTAAAGATAATCTACAATATATCCTTAAGGTATCTGATATGTATTCTACTTTTTTTTTCTTGCTTCATTGTTTTAACAGTGAAAGTATCCCTGTTTTTATCATAGTTCTCAATATCATATTATATTCTTACACATAGAAAGACACAGTTTTTCTAAGCAATATAGGAAGCATGAAATTAAATTTAGTTCTTGCATATGAAAAGCAGAGGCCATCCCTATTTGATCAACCCTTCTTCTGAAAGATCTGTGTGAATTTAATTTAAAAAAATAGATCTAGATCCCCAGGCATTTCAGCTTGATGTTTTCCACAAATCCCACTCTTGGAGTTCTCATCAGCAAAAATGGTGAACTTACTCTTTTGCGTATGAAGGAAATAAGCCAGAGAAAGGAGAACTAGACTCTTCTTGCATTACCTGCAGCTCTGGCCATTTGTTCCTTTTGCCTTCTGGAAGGATGACTTTTCACTGAAGGGGGTGGAAGCCAGAGGGTTACCTTAGTGGGGAGGCAAGTATGTATGGCTTTCCTGTTCACTCAGATTCCAAAAACTATTTTGTCTTTTCCATAGCTGTCAGATTTTTGTAGTGATTAGTGGGCTTGGAATAAGTAGAGCCTATCTCAACAGAAAAAGAAAATTAGAGGCTAAAGTGTTTCGTGAACTCTGTCCACCAAGGAAGTCTGGGATTTGTAGTAAAGTCTGCTAGCTGAAGTGTTAGGGTGCCAATGTGGGAGTATGCAAGCAGTTTGTCCTTAATTTTCTGTCCAAAGAGAAGATGTTTATCTCTTAAAAACAAGGATAATCTGACTGCCTAGTGAGCCAGATCATGTGATGTAGCTAAAAAAAAAAAAACACTTTTTTTCCAACTGATCGCAATTCCATGATTTTGAAATGCACTGTGTTAGATCCAGATTAACTGCTTTTAAACTGCAAACTCAAGGTGTATAAAAAAAAATGATTCATTCTTTGGGGGCAGGAGAACACTATCTGTTTTGAGCTAAAATCTAAAGGAGTATCAGTCAAAACTGAAGATTTTTGTGGCAGCTTCAGGTATTTGCAGAGGCTAGGAGGACATTCTGTGGACTCATGAAGAATGCACAGCATAATTTCTAACCTTGTAAGTGTCTGCACATTGAGAAATACAGATTAAAATCAGGATGCAAGTGCAGCAATAATCAATGTCACCTGTTGTTATTCTGGAAAATGGGAAGGGGTGCTATAGGTAAAAAACCTGACTTCTAAATATGGTAGAATTTATTCCAAAATAATGTTCATTGAAGCTCTAAAAGGCTGTTATTTGGTTGAATCAAGGAGAAGAAAGGAATAATGTTAACTATATTGGATAGCATATCCCGGTCAAAAAAGAAGGAACGCTTCCTAATGCCTAAACATATTTCTGCAATTGCTACTGCAAGAAAATGTTTTTATTATCTATTCAAAGTTCAAAGCTTCTTAATTTTGTATGGCCGGTCATCATCCATACGGCTTTGGACCTTCAGAGAATGCCACTTTTTATAAGAAATTTCTGAAATCTATTTTTCAGAAATAGTCAATGTCAGTTCATCTTGAGAAATGTAATTATTACTTTAGTTTTTGAGAAAAGCTTTAGAATTGGATGAGTTGGTAATATTTGAACAAAAAATATCAAAAAGGCAAATAACTATAGTATCAGAGAACTTTTGAAGCTGTTACATCCAAGATCTTATTTGAAATTTCACCAGATCTCCCATTAGAAGACAAACTTGGATCTGTACATTCACCACTGTGAAGAATTTGAGGTTAAGTTTACTTCTTTCCTAGAAAACATTCTTGTAGAGTCCATTTACAATCTCAGAGTCTAAAATTAAAGAAACATTTTTTTCACCTGATTCTCTTTATTGTCATCAGTTCCCAGACCCGGTAAAACCGTGGGCATGGTCAACTAAAGGCTGTTGGTGAGGAATAAGCAAAAAGTGTTTTAAAACTTTTGTTTAACTATAGCCCTTTTTACATTTTATTCAAGTCCAGGTATTGTCCAGGTCTTTCTTTTCTCTACAGTTCAGTCAACACCATAACAATTCTACTTGCCTAGAGTAAAATAGAAGTTCTGTCTCTCTGGTTGCACTTGAGTCAAATAACAACAAGCTTTTTTAGGAGATGGTTCCCTTGTGGCAAGAAAAATAGATCTTTAATGCTCTAAAATTGCAAAATATGAATTATAAAATAGAAATTCATTTCCTCTTCAAACTTAGCAATGTACAATAAGGTCTTTCCCTCTTTTATGAAAATAGTTTAGCTTCTAAAGCTTTTGTAAATGATGCCTCTATTTTTTATAAATATTCATAGAATCATAGAATCATAGAATGCTTAGGGTTGGGAGGGACCTCTAGAGATCATCTAGTCCAACCCCCCTGCACACGCAGGGACACCTAGAGCACCTGGCACAGGACTGCGTCCAAGAGGGTTTTGAAGATCTCCAGAGAAGGAGACTCCACAACCTCTCTGGGCAGCCTGTTCCAGTGCTCTGTCACCCTCACTGTTAAGAAATTTTTCCTTAAGTTCCTATGGAATTTTTGATGTTTCAGTTTCCGGCCATTTCCTCTAGTCCTATCAGTGGCCACCACTGAAAAGAGACCATCCCCGTCCTCTGAAAATATTAGTAGGAGTATTTGATTTTCTGTGAGTGGAAATATACTTATTAGCAATGATGCTGACTCGGCAGTTGTGCAATATAGTATGTGTGTAATAAATACATAATTGACTCATTATCCAGTTGTTACAGAGCTTAGTAATCTTTTTCAAAATAGCTGTAGTTCACTTAATTAGACCAGATTGACTTCACTTATGCTTTATCTTAAAAGTACTGTAAAAAATTTAAAATAACTGACCAACAGAGGGAAGTCAGAAGTCTGCTAATTTATAAAACTACGCTTAGGTATGCAATGAACCCTTTTTTTTTTTTTTTTTTTTTAATCTTCATTTGTATCTCCAAGTTTGGATTATCAGCATCAAATCTCTCTCCCTTCCTTTCTCTCCCTTTCCTCTGCTTCTGCACGTGCTATGTGTTTGGCTGAAAGTGTAATGAAGGAAACCAGCTGATCGGCTTGTTGCAAGTATAGCGGCAGAGCAACGTCCATCACGGAGCTCTCCCCTGCTTTCCAAAAGCAGAAAGTAAAACATGGGCATGAAAAATTAGTTGCAGAGAGGTAGGCACTGAATAGTATAGCATGTCATCTGTTTTATTTAAGATTGTTGATAGGTTGGCGCATGGTGTCTTGTGTAATGAGATATCTACAAATTTTTGTGTTAGCTTTCGCTCACAGAAAAAAGATTACTCCCATAAACATAGTTTTAGAATATGTAATGGCTGCGTACTGATAACAGGATTTGATTGTAAATTTAGATTTGTTAATAAAATGCTATTGACTAGTTGATCTGTTGACTTCATGACTTCAGAAGCTCATTCAGTCAGAGACTGAAGGAAGATTTTAAAATGCTCCAGATTAAAGTATAGTTATCTGTAGTATACATTACACAGTATTGTAAAAACTGAATCTAATTCTTTAAAACTTAAGCAAGATAAGAGATTGTTCCTCCTTCTAGTTAGACCAGTCTGAAAGGAACACAATGCCACAATACTGAAAACTGCAAGCCCAATTTTCAGGCACTTGCCATCAGCATAGACTCCAGAATTCAATTTAAATTACGGGTTGTTAAATTTGAGGATATCTACACTGCACTGCAC